GCTTAGATGTCACACACTCAAGTTCTTTTCTATACAAGTGTACACATTTGGGGTTACATTCTGACCTTCACCCATTTATTCTTAAACTTCAAAAAGAAAAATCTACCTAACCCGGTTCAAGAAAAACCCTTGGAAAAGAACCGTGGTCAAAAGAAAAACCAAGGGGAGGTACTACACTACCTAAAAGAAGAAAATAAAATAAAAAAAAAATTCTACATGGACTACTTCCCTCAAGAGTACTGTCCACCTAGTCCGTCATCAGGAAGAGTCCTCTACATTTTTTTTTTTTAAATTCGACTATGACCCTCAAGAGACCTGTCGACAAGTGTCCGTCGTTGGGCCAAGTCAGTTGCTTCCAATATGAGTACAGTCAATTATACACAACAACATCAATCTAATATTACAACATACTCAATGTCTATATACACTACAATACACTACCAGAGCAAGTCTCCCATCCCACACTTAAAATTATGGCATGTCCCCATGTCATATCAAAAATAAGAGGATAAACGAAACTCCCTGGTAGGCCAAAGGCCGAAGCACTAGCAGCTCATGGGGTACTCAGGCTTTTTCCAAGCTTGGTCCTTCGTGCGGGTACCTCACACTTAGTTCCAACCATTTGGTTTGCTGTTGCATCCTTCCACTACCTTTGTTTTCCATGCTCCTAGAAGAAAAAAAAATAAAATAAAAATTGACACACTTTTCTCGCCACTTGGATGATATGAACTGGGCACCTAGCTTGGAATCAAGCTTGTGACCTCGAGCGATCGGGGGTGGTACGTTGATGATCGAGCCAAGCTTTAAGTACTTCATTTTGCACTTCTTGGCTTTCATGTGAGGAATGTCATTTTTCCTCCTTGTTCCCTCAAATTGTAAGATGAATGGTTGTTGCCTTTCCTCCTTGCAATCCCTCATTGAGTCGTGTACATCAATTCCCATATCACCACACAAGTCCAATGTTGAAAAATGCTTGAAATGCGACTTCAAACCTTCATTTTGCAATTTTTCTCGGATTTTGACATCCTCTTTTTCCCTCGGGTTAGAGTCAATCTCAACCAAATTTTTATTTACACCGGTTGACTCTAATCCTATTTTTTTCTCGGCGCCATTAACACCCATGGAGTCGGTTGGCGGATGTTCAATTCTTGAATCCTCAAAGTAACGCTCACTTTCTTCCTCGAAATTGGATTCTTCTTGGTTTTGATCAAGTGCTAAGGAAAGATTTTCGGCTTCCACATCTAAGGAAAGTTCTTTGCTCTCATTAACTTTCGAGGCTTTTTGGACCTCTAAAGCTTCAAGCGTTTCTCCCATTTGTGAGTGACACCTTTCAAGTGCCAAGTCATTTCGGAGACTATTTTCCAAAAGCTCCTCCAAGGCACTTTGTTCTTTGTTTCCTCCTTCAAGTAAACATTCCAACATGAGCTTGAACTCTCCATTTCGGCCATGCTCAACTTTTTCAACTCCCATGGCCCTATAATTTTCATCACAAAAAGTAGAATCATCATAGTGGGGGCTTGGGGAAGGGAAGGACAAATAAGCACAAACATCCCAATGACCATTTTGAAAACCACACTTATCACAAATACTCCACTCATGGATTTGAGATTGTGCGCACAATCCACCCCTGGGAAAACTTAAATAATTTTGCCACGAGTGTGGTCCTCCACAATAAGGACAAGGGTCATCAAAGTATGAACAACTACCATCCGACCAATTTTCATTATATGATGCCATATTTCAAAACTAAGAAAATAAACACGAATAACAATAAAAATAGACCAAGGTAAGAAAAATTAATTACACAAATATTCACAAGTTGGGTATAGAGAAAACTGACCACACTAAGAATTTTTGTATTTCTATCAATGGTAATTGATAATTCCGTTAACTCCCCGGCAACGGCGCCAAAATTTGATCACGCCCAACTATGCCATATAAAAAGGACTAAGCGGACGTTGCAAATATAAACCGAGTATTACGCCCAGGGTCAAATCCACAGAGAGTTAACCTACCAACTACTATCTTCAGACCCACTAATTCTTCAGAACCAGCTTCCCAAATATTCAAATCTCAGTTGAGTATTCTTTAACGACTAGCTTGCAAGTAACTAAATAGTTGTAAACTAAACTAATGAGGTTGTAAACAATAATGAGGAAACGCTAGGGCAATGATTTCCCCTATTGATGGAATCCCTTCTGTTTATGCTCATACAAATTTACCCACACATCTCTATCAATCATGAACGCTAGTCTTACTGCAAATCTCTCCCGAGTAATCATAGTAATTTACTATTGCACTCTTCCAAGATACACTAGCTTACTTTATTTAGCACGATTCACTTTAGATTACACCAAAGGCTTCGTTATCCCTAATCCCGCCTTTAAACCCGCAATTATAGATTCCTCTAATAATCTAGGAGTGGTGTTGTTCAACAATAACCTAAATATGCACTCTTTTCCAAGTTATGCACACTAAATAGGCACAGCTAATTGAGGATCCTGTCAATTAACTACAACGAACACGAAGTTGAACAAATAGAGATTAAACTGGCAATTTTGTATTCACATAAACAAGAAGTTCATCACCCAATAGGTTCCATCAAAACATTAGACAAGGAATTTAGCTACTCATGGCTATGGGAAAATAGACTAAGATTGAATTCATCATGAAAATCAAAAGAAAAGAAGAAAGATGTTTAGAGTATTCTCTCACAATGGTTTTGCTTGCTAAGAAACCTTAAAAATCAATACATGCCTCTCTTGGGCGAAGTCTAATATTTTAAATAGGGTTTAGGTCTAAAAATCCCATAATTGACACTTTGGTCCCTGATGTTTCTGCGCCTACCGCGGTTCTGCCGCGGTCGCGGTAGAACCGCGGCCAAACACCCTCGCGGAATCACTGAGGTTCTGCAGCTGCTTCCCACCGCGGTTCTGCCGCGGTCGCGGTGGAACCGCGGTGGACCCAGTGCTCTGAATCTTCTGCCTGTTTTGCGTGGTTCACTTGGGAAATTTCACAGTTGGCCTCTTTTTCATCACTTTTAACTCCAAAACTGCTCCTTAGCCTTCCTTATACATATTTCACCTACAAATCATGAAAAGCACTAATAAGAGCATTTTGTTATCACTTTTAGCATTAAAACTACACAAGAAGGTGATTATTTAAGGTGTGATTATAGTCAAATTCACCTATTATCAACCACTCTTGGAGGGAACTCAGTTTGGACCCCACAAGTCAGAGTATATATAAACTAACTTGTCTCTGGTCTTGTGCTCGGCCTTCTTGATGAACTTTACCCTTGTCTGTTTATCAAACACACAATGCTCACAAAAATTCAAAATTTGATTTTTGTACCCATTCAGCAAATTCTGCTTACTCAACAAAGACAATCCATTATCACTCATAAGGCCAAGTCGTAAGTGCCACAACTGAGACTGATTCAGATCACTTTTCCCAGAAGCTACAGCAACTTCCACTTCAACTACACTGGCCTGAAGATGATACAATTTAGAACGTAGTTTACCCTTCATGAGTACCATAGAGCCTTTATGCCCTTTAAGTATTCCATCCTCGGAGTGAAATTTATACCCTTGATCATCCGAAGTCGAAAGAGAAATCAACTATCTCTTTATCCGAGGAACATGCCAACGCTTAATGTTTCTGATAATTCCGTCGAACATTCTCAATTTGATGTTACCAACCCCCTCTACTGGTAATGGATTATCATCTCCCATATAGACAGTCCCACTCATTTGCTTGTAAGTTGCAAACCAATTCTTGTATCGACACATGTGGAAAGTAGCACCAGAATTAAGAATCCAAGAATTCTGCCCATAACTAGAACTCACAGCACAGACTTCCCCGACATAGTCACTATCATCAGAATTATTGCTAGTGTCAACAATATTTGCCGAATTATCTATTTTCTGCTTCCCTACTTTCTCCTTCAGCTTAGGACAATCTCTTGTAGTGACCTTGCTCCCCGTACTCATAATAGTGTTGCTTCTTTGCTCTAGACTTTGATCTGGCAGTTGACTTTTTCCTGTTAAAGTCCTTTTGTTGTGTTTTCCCTCTAATCACAAGACCCTCGCCCTCAATTTTGCTATCTGGAAAGCTCTTTTTCAACTCTTTAGATTTTAGTGCATTACTAACATCTTCTAGTGAAATGCTGTCTTTCCCATATAGCAGCGTATCGGCAAAAAGTATCATAATACGGTGGTAAATAACATAACACAATCAAGGCCTGATCCTCACTCTCAATTTTGATATCCACATTCTTCAGGTCCATTATAATTGAATTAAACTCATCAATGTAAGTTTTAACAGGTGCACCTTCATTCATACCGAGATTGTATAACCTCTTTTTCAGGTAGAGGCAGTTTGTTAGCGATTTCTTAAAATACAGATCTTCCAGCTTCTTCCATGCCGTTGCTGCAGAAGTTTCTTCATCAATTTCCCGAAGAACGCTATCTGTAACGCTCATGAAGATCGCACTCAAAGCCCTCTCCTTCAGGTTTGCCTTCTCTGTCTCCTTCATCTCTTCAGGAAAATCCTCATCAATTGCCTTCCATAACTCTTGTAATCCCAGGGACGATTTCATCCTAATCTTTCATAGATTGAAACTAGAACCCCCATCAAATTTCTCTACTTCGTACTTTGTTGAAGATGATGAAGACATCTTAACACTATATTATATGTAGAAACCCGAACCTTGCTCTGATACCAATTGATGCAGAATATTTTGTGTTAACTAGCACACAATCAATCACAAAGCAAATAGAGAAGAAAAATCAACACAATGATTTAACGAGGTTCGGCTAAGCCTAATTCTCGGGGCAAAAGCAGAGATGAGAAGAAAAGCACAATACAATGTTTAGAATCCCCAACTACAACCCCTAAATATAGATCCCAAAATGTTCCAAACATATAACAGAAAGGTTCCAATTTGACAAGTTTTCCTTTCTCAAATCTATTACTAAACCTATAGGGACTATAAGTTTCCTAAAAAAATAAGTAATTAATTCAAGTCACAGATAACACTCTGTTTCTATTTCTGTTCTTTAGAAGGGCACGGGTGTTTGTTAAATATTCTATTTTTTGTTGATAAATTAGTTATAGAAGTTGCAGAAAGATTTTTTCTTGAGAACATCTATGCGATTTATTCTCAGATAAACTAAGTTAAAAAGGCGCATCTGAATACAAATATCTCAACCGGAGTGACTGCTTGGTGATCCATGATATCGATGATGCTGAGGAATTTTGTAAGCTTATGGTGAGCCTTAACGGATAAGACATGGTCAACTTATGTTTGATTTCTGTTCTTTCAGTTCAATGCCGTGCTGGATCTTTTTTGTAATTATTTCCTTTGTTTCTCTTACTTTCACCAAGAAGCCGTAAATACTTTTAGGATTTCTGAAAGGGATCAAGAGCAGGCTCAGATGATTGCTTCAGTTCTATGGCTGGGAAATATAACATTCCAATTAATTGACAACGCAAGCCATGTTGAAGTTGTGAAGTGAAGGTGGGCTATCTTGTCAATGTGGCATTAGCTAATGTTGATCCTCTTGTACTTTTGTTCAATCTGAAAGTAAATACAGCTATGATTTTCATAGAGGGTGTTTGGCTAAGCTTATAAGCCGGTCAAACCGGCTTATAAGCATTTTTTGGCATATTTACGCAACAACAACAACCCAGTAAAATCCCACAAGTGGGGTCTGGGGAGGGTAGTGTGTACGCAGACCTTACCCTACCCCGAAGGGGTAGAGAGGCTTTTTCCCAAAGACCCTCGGCTCAAGATAATAAAAGGACAAAAGAAAAATACAAAAGAAGAGAGTATTAGATTCACCACGGAAATCATAGGAAAAAAGGAACATAGAAAGCAGGAAAGAAAAAAAAAATTCAAACCAAAAACGATGGTTTGTAAATGGATCCTGCATCGAAAATACAAAAATAGTAAAACACGACATTGCCCCTAACTATCTTAGACAAAACCCCACCGAACTAGGCTCACAAAGGTACAAAGTAATGCAAGACTCAACTACCTCCTAGCCTACAACCGTAATACGCGACTTCCATAACCGTAATACGCGACTTTTGGCATATTTACGCGTTTGGTAAAATTAATAAGCCAAAAATAATCCAAAAGTCATAAGTTGGTCTACCCCAACTTATCAAATTTCAGCTTATAAGCACTTTAAGTTTGACCAAAATATTTATTATCCTATCCCTAAAATACTTCTTTTAAAACAAAACTCTTCATATACCCAGTTCTTCAGCTGCATATTATTAATTTCAGCACTTTTATCCAAACACTTAACTGCTTATTTTTTAAATCAGTTTCAGCACTTAAAAGTGCTTATCAGCTATTCTAAATCAGCTAAGCCAAACGGGCTCATAATCTTATACATATATAAGTAATTGTACTCTTGGTGAATCTCTTGACTTAGCTTTTGTTCAGCATCCATATAACCGGTTTCAGCTTAAACACTTTCTTCCATTCTGAGTAACCTTCATGTATTTTCTTATCCCTTGATTTCTGTTATTACTTGTTGCTGTTTTGTTTCGGTTTTCTTGATTGCATTACTTAGTGTTAGTTTTGTATTTTCGCTTCGGTTGTCAGATTGGTTTGGTTGTTATTACCCTCCCCTTTTTCCTTCCTGAGCCGAGGGTCTACCGTAAACAACCTCTCTGCCTTTTTAAGGTAGGGGTAAGGACTGCGTACACTCTACCCTCCCCAGACTCCACCTGTGAGATTTGTTATTATTCCATTTTGAGTAAAGGGCAGTCTATCATATTTCTCATTGTCAGTTGGCTGCTTTTCTTTGGAGTAGTTATGTTAACTCCAGAAGTACTCTTGTTAACTCCATTTCTCTGCAATTTTGAGGGTCTCTCTTAGACTTGTCCACTTTTTGGGCCATGAGCGTTTTACATTGTTATCGAGCCTTTGTTGTTGTGATTCATGCGAATCTCTTATGCTTCTTATGATAATTTTTTCCTGCACCTCTTGTATGGTCTTACTTTGTAATAATAATTATGAAGTTTCTTGCTTCACTTTGTTTGCAAGGTCTCAACTTTTTAGTATTCATTTATATTCTGTGCTTCCGTGGATTGCAGCTGTTGCAAATGCTGCTAGCTTGATTGGATGTAGTTTAAATGACCTCATGCTAGCTTTATCAACACGCCAAATACTAGCCGGCAAGGATAAGGTTGCCAAGAGTTTAATTATGGAGCAGGTTAATTGAAGTGCTTATATTCCATCTCTTGGTCATTTTCTTTTTTCACAATGTGCTATTTTCATTAATTATTCTTATATATGAATTTAGCACTCCTATTTCTTCTATTGAGAACGTGACTCATGTTGAATCTGATTCAGGCAACTGATAGAAGAGATACATTGGCAAAGTTCATTTATGCAAACTTGTTTGACTGGATAGTTGATCAAATGAACAGAAAGCTTGCAATGGGTAAAGAAACAGACGGATAGATCCATAAATATTCTGGATATTTATGGTTTTGAATCATTTAAGGTAAATTTATTTGTGTTTTTTTTCTTAAAAAGAACTATTATACTGCATAGGAAGATTCCTTGTATACAACTTGACAGTCCCATTCCCACTTTTCAGAGAAACAGTTTTGAACAATTTTGCATAAACTATGCAAATGAGAGGCTCCGGCAGCATGTCAACCGACATCTTTTGAAACTTGAACAAGAGGTAAGCGTATCATGATCCTTCCTAGTTCATTCTTATTGTTTCATCCCTTTCCTCTACTAACTTCTTTAACTGAAAGGAGGTAAAAGGAACTAGTCTCTTTACCGGTTTTGCATAAGCTGACTATAATGAGTGAAACTTTTTATGAGAACTGGAGCTGAGAAGTTGTAGTTGTCAAAAATAGCACGTGCCTTACGCGTGCTAAACTAGCTAAGCCCCGAACATACCGTCCCTCTACAAGGTTCAAAGCCTGTGACCGACTCCTCGCACGACTGACTCAATACGACCAGTTCCGGGATCAAATGTCCATTATTAAACCGTCCCTTACGAGCCGGAACAATGATAAGAGTGCCCTATATTTACTGGCCATTACTTCAATTTGTTAAGCCCAAGATGCCCCTGCGCCAGTTCCTCTGCCCGAGGATAAGGTTGAGAGTCCAACAAACTCCTCAATAAACCCCGAACAATCTGGGGGAGATTTGCACCATAATGGTCCATGACCTCATTTGTGTCTCTTCAATGGAGACTCCACCTACACTTGGACCCTAAGAGACCCATGTCCTATGTAAGTCGGACTAATGAATGAGCGAAGGCATCTAATCCAATCTATATCACCTGTCATCAAGGCAATCAAACTTCAAGCTTACTACTTCCAGCTCTCAGCTTACTTTCCATACTTAATGCCATTTCCATTTTCACTCATAAGCTTTCTTAGAATTAGCCTTGTACTTTACATATTCAAAGGAAACATTGTACGATCGTGGATTTGGACTGTTGAATAAAACAATGCGCTCTCTTCCTCTCTATTCACTTTTTTCTCATTTCAATTGTATTGATTATTTTGTTTGTACTGCTAGTACCCTACTTCCTTATCAACCGTAGAGTGATTACCTTCTACAGAAACTGTTAGGGCATTTAAGATCAGTGGCTGCTGCAGAAATTTTTATGTTACACAGAAAAACACAAGATTGTTGGACTCAGATTTTTCCTGTCTGTAGTTTTCCTGTGGTATTTTCGGGCTTTATTACTCTCCTGAAGATATTCCTTACATCATCATTTTTAGATGTCGATGCAAGCTGATGATTTTTATTTCAGGAATATGAGTTGGACGGAACTGATTGGACAAAAGTAGATTTTGAAGACAACCAAGAGTGCCTGGATCTTTTTGAAAACGTATTTTTCCTTTTTGATTCTTTTTCCTATTCACTTGGCGTCAGGAGTTTTTATAATCTGCTAGCTTTCTTCTGTCCTGGATTATGCGTTTACTTTCGTTCTTAATTACGCAATCACACTGTTGTTGCTCTTTTTCCTTTTTGGTCTTTTACATCTTTTTCCCGTTTAGTCTTACTCTTTCCATGTTTAGGAATTAGGAGTTGGATGCAAAGGATTAAAATGCATCTGTTCGTATTGTCACAAGTTCTATTTGATATAGCTGCCACCACAATTTTCTTATCGTTGTATTCCTTCTTATGGGTTAAGTAGTGAAAATGCAATATATCGAGTCAATCATAAAGAAGATCTCCGTATTTTGTCTACGCAATTTACCACATGTATTTGAATGGACATACCAGTTGATCGATGAAATGCCAGATTTTCAGAAGCAAAGTGTTGCAACTAAGTTTAAGTTTGTTATTTTCTTAACTTCTCTATAGAACTTGATCATGCTAACAAACTGAACATTTTAGGTATTAAAACCTTGTATCTTAGGGTACCCTTATAGTTGCTCAAGGTTGTCAACAACAACAACAACAACAACTACCCAGTATAGTTGTTGTTGTTGACAACCTTGAGCAACTATAAGGGTACCCTAAGATACAAGGTTGTCCTTTATCAAAAATTTCTGGCAGGATCATTTGTTCAAACTGATGCAGCAGTTGGAAAATACAACACCACACTTCATATGTTGCATAAAACCAAATAATAAGCAGGTTCCTGGCATGTGTGACAAAGATCTTGTCATACAACAGCTCAGATGCTGTGGTGTTCTTGAGGTGGTTTGAATATCAAGATCTGGCTATCCTACTAGGTGAACACATCAAGAATTCACAAGCAGGTGACGTCCTTGATCCTTAGTTTGTCGCTGACTTGTTCTTTTTGGTTGCTTTTCGACTTATATGAATGCGGTATTTTAGGTACGGCCTCCTTATGGAGAAGGATAATGCATGTCAAGATAGTATGTCAGTTGCTATTCTTCAGCAGTTTGATATTCTTCCGGAACTGTACCAAGTTGGATATACAAAGTTATATTTCCGAGCAGGACAGGTGAGCTCATAGTTCCTCGTTTTCTGACACGAAGATAGGTTTTCTTTTCAAACAGTAATGCTATTGCCCTATTTGTCAAAAAGACACACCAGAAAGTTTAAATCTTTTCTAATTTTTACTACTATATAGTTGAAGCAAACTATGACAAATAAATGTGTGGTGCATTGAATGAGCGCAGGCTGGCCGGGACACCATTGTTTTTAAAAATAAAAAGGTGTGGCGTCTTCCAAACTGGTGACATCACATTGAGGCCATATCATATTTTTGGATGCATATGTCCTTTCGGAGAAGGTTTGTGAGTAGTCCCATGCATATTGGAAAGAAGAACAATCAGAAATGAAGAAAATTATGGTTTATGGCTAACATGTTTCTTCTGATATGTATGACCAATACAGTCTTCTAGTGAGGCAATGGGTTTATACCATTGAAGATTGGATTTCTTTTGTGTGCCTATCTTTGAACTTCTGTCTCTCTAACATGTAGATTGCTGCATTGGAGGATGTGAGAAACCAAATTCTGCAAGGTACTCTTGAGGTGCAGAAGTGCTTTCGTGGTCATCGTGCTCGTCGTTACTTCCATGAGCTGAAAGGAGGAGTAATCACACTTCAATCATGTAAAGCGGGATCCCTCTGCAGCTTTTTTCTTTTTTTTCCTTTTTCTTTTGGATACAATAGAAGATGATATTCATGAACAATGTTGTGTCTATCAGTTTTAAATGAGTATTTGTCCATATGAGGACTACATTAGATATCTTCAAAGTGTAGAGCACCAGGGCTGCCATTCCGATGATTTTAGTAAAAGAATAAATATATAATTTCCTGCTATTTGAAGCAATGCTGAAAGTTCCAAAAGTAACTAGTGATATAAGCCTGTTCAATTCTGAGCTGATGCATCAATATAGTAAAATTTTAAGACTTTCAACGCTGAATTTTACCTGATATTCTGACTCAAAATTTGTTCTTGTAGTTATTCGTGGTGCAATAGGAAGAAACCGGTATAATACTTCGGTGGGGTCTAAGGCGAAGGTGGCTCACAAAAGTGATGAGCAGCTGGTGGCTGTTGTGCAGATGCAATCAGGTAAAGTTATTTGTATTGGCATCTCTGCGATTATGAAATCAAATAGATTTATACGTCTTTTTTATTGCAGCTATTCGTAGATGGTTGGCTCGAAAGAATCTTAATAAACTGCAGAGTGCAAAAACGTTAAATGTAGGCATCCCAAAAACAGGCAGAAAAATGGAGGCCAAGGTACTCTATCATAAAGATTCAAAGATATCCTTACTATTACTAGGTCACTTTGCCTCAGTTTTTGTTCTCTTAATAGAACATATAACAGAATAATTGGTTTTCTATAAAAGCTTTTCCATAATTTTTTATTGAACTTTTCTTCTTTCTTCGTTCAGAATTGTAAAATCTGCTTTGGGACTAATATCTTTAAGAATTTGGTGGCCTGTTTGATGAAGCCAACTTTGGAAGATGAAATGTTTTGGCATCTCGAAAATGCCGAGTATTTCATTATTAAGATTGAAAGAAAAAGACAGTGAGGGAACTGGGTAGGGGGAGGCCTTTTTTGGTTTATGCATTAGTCCTTCCCACTCCCCTTGTAGAAGCAAAAAAAAGAAAAAGGACAGCTTGCGAAGAGTCACTGACTGATCAATCAGGATAGTGGCTTCATTTTCATGCTTTCCTTTTTTCTTAATTCTTATTGCACTATGGCTTCTCAGTCTTGAAGTCTGATATTAGCCTAAATGCAAACAGTGGAGGCAACACTGTAGTCTTTAATATTTTTGTGGCAAAATACATAACTTACCCCCGAACTATGAACCAAATCCCTGTTACATACTTTTTGTGGACAAAAATCATCTTACACACTTTTTGTTACACACTTTTTGTGGACAAAAATCATCTTACACACTGAACCTTTTAAAAGTGTGTCTAAGACACACTACTTTTTTCTTGACTAGTTTGCCAAATTATGTGTGATATCACGCACCAATTAAGTCTTGACACGTGTCATAACTCAAGAAAAAAATAAAATACTCATTTCCACCCTAATTAATATCTTTTCTTTAAAAAATAAAAATAATCAAAAGACCCCCCTCCCCAACCCGTCTCTCATCTTTCCCTACCCTACTCATAGTCAACTTCTCCATTAAAATTTGTTCCTCCGTTAGAATCCACTGGAATAATCTCTCCAAATCACATGTCCTCCATTTCCTCCATCATCTTCTCACTTCACACCCAATTGCTGGCCAACTCCTCTGCCACAACTATTAGCCACCAAACAACTCGATTCCAGATAATCAGATAATCGGATCTGGAGGAAACTAGCGGAAGAATGGTCAGATCTTTGCTAGTTCTGCCGAATTTTGACAAGAAACGGAGCTTCTCTATCGTTTTTTATTTAATTTTTGTGTCTCTTCTTCTCACTTTTTTGTTTCATCTGAATATTGGTCGGAAAATTAAAGACTCCGGCGACCCATAGTTTTGATGTCGTTTGTTTGTTTCATGGTTGCCTTACCATCGGAGCTCCGGCGATTGTTATCAACTGAGATCTTCAATATAATACTTTGCTTACATCTCCAACTTGAACAAATTCATTCTTTAACAATCTACCAATTATTAATTTGCGGACAGATTAGTGTAATATTATATGTATTAATCATCATTAATGTGGTATAAATAGGAGAAGGTAAGGAATATTAAGAATAAACGTCATCCAAATGACTCTAAAATTTTTGAAAAATAAAGAAGGCTGGATATGTGGCATTTAGATAATGGTTCAGACCCAAAAGATTTAACTCCACTCGCCTCTTTTATGTATAAAACACGCGCCTGCCAACTGTTAAAAGTAGTGTGTATTTGACACACTTTTAAAAGGTTGGGTGTGTAAAAGGTTGCCCGTGATCGAGAGGTGTGTAACAGGGATTTGGGTACAAGTTTAATGGATAAACTATGTATTTTGCCTATTTTTATTGACTGCTTTAGAACCTGGTTGATGCTGTAGTAAGTTTGTAATTGTTATGCAAGCAGGAGTTGCCTCGAGAAATTTTACCTTCTGTTGTAGAAGACCTCGAAAGGCGCCTTCTAAAGGCTGAGGCAACCCTTGGAGAGAAGGAAATGGAAAATGTTGCCCTGAAGGAACAATTAAACCTATTCGAGGCCCGATGCCTAGAATATGAGGTCAATGGAAGAGATGTGGCAAAAGCAAATGGCATCATTGCAGGTGAGTAAGCTGCAATATGATCCTAGATAGTTGATCTATTCTTGTACTCCCTCTGTCCCAATTTATGTGGTATTTTTCACTTTTCGAGATTCAAACTTTTTTTTCAAAATAAAATTTTCATGTATGTAAACTACGTAAAAAGTAATATAAATCTCAATAATTAAAATATTTAAAAGGCTTATGAAAAATTATAGTTAAAGAATAATTCGTCTGACTCTCGAAATTTGAACACGGTCACCTAAATTGGGATGGAGGGAGTACTTGGTATCCATTGTTCTATGGAGCTCTACTGATATTGCTACTGCTTCTTCTCACATCTCTGGTCCAATTGAGAATTAGTTTGAGAAATGCTAATTTATCCTGAGATAGGCAACATCCTTTTTCTTTACCGTGTCTGGAGAGATATTGGGTGTAAAGATGGCATCCTTGCCATCTCTTTTAATAAGAAGATTGAAGCCTGATGATGGTAAATGGAAACAAAAATCTTCTTTCATTGGTTGGGGTTGGTCTACTTTGTCCCTTTCATCATTCACGTCAGCAGATCTTCTTTTGTTATGAAGCAATATTTTAATTGCTTGGCTGATCACCATGGCCTGTTCATTGGCTGAAAACAAAATTGAAGCCTGATGTTTGTAAATGTAAACAGAATCTTTTTTAATTGGCTAATGGTATTTTATACTTCTATTGGAAATTGAGTTTATACTCGTGAACTCTATTTCCGGATTTACTAAGGTAACTGTAACATTTAATGATGAAATTTCTAATTTGGTGATACATCAATTGTTTTGCTAAAGCAGGATAGTCTGGCTGCAGCCTAGAACAGTCTCAGTGCTGGTGATACTACTGGTCGACCTGGAAAGCCTGAAGGTTCCCCATCTCCTCGCTATTATGATTCTGATGACGCAACATCTATGGACACTCCTGCGGGATGCACCCCAGTTAAATTTACTAACAGCTTAGGTGTTGGAGCTAATAGAGAGGTTAATGGTGGTTTAGCCATAGTCAGCTACCTCACACTGGAATTTGAGCAGCGAAAGCAGAATTTTGACGATGAAGCCTTGGCAATTGTTCACTTGAAACCAGGGCAATTACATTCTACTAATCCTGCAGATGAGTACCGAAGACTGAAGTGCAGGTTTGAGGAATGGAAAAAAGATTACAAGGTCCGGTTAAAGGAGACAAAGGCAAAAGTACACAAGCTTGGTTGTTCTAAAGCAGGAAAGAATCGTAGAAAATGGTGGGGTAAGAAGAGCAAGTGATTTTAGCTTAAAATCAGTCGTTTTCTTCCCTAGGGTATTTTAAAATATATCGGTGAAACTAATTTCCCCAACTTATGGTTGGTAACATAGCAGAGTTGGTGGAGATTGGGAAATAGTGTGTGCGCTCGGTTATGGATCCTCTGATCCCCCTAGATAGTTAAGAGCGTGTTTGTGAATAGCCTGTTGTTAACAATGCTAAGTTGTGTAATTACACTAGATAGCTTTGCCAGAATAGGACTAGAGTTTTCTCAGTCCAAATGCTTTTGCATTAGCAAATGTTGTAATTAGTTGTTACTGAAATATGGTGATCAGTTGCAGAAATGTGGTTACTTGATTGTTTACAACTCCAGAATGAGTGGCCAAACGTGATAGAGAGCGTTTTTTATTCTCATCTCATATCCTGATTCTTGTGAGCTGAAGAAGCTCAAAGTCCATACAGAAAGATAGCATATGCATTCTTCCCTTCAACTCTTTTCGCCATTGTTGACCTAGTTTATTTCGTATAGGCTATTCGTGTAACTCTCCCCTTTCCTGTTAACACGACTTACTTTAGTTTCAATATTTTTTAGGAGTTTTTTAAGTCATGTCTGAAATTTATATGCTAGTAGAAAATACAGAGATTGGGTTGTGCTTTTACTTCTAATTTATATAATATTGGGACATGTGATGAGCTTGAATGTACATGGCTAGTGAAGATTAATACAGCTAGTGTTAACTTGCTTGGGATTGAGGCGCCACAAGAGTTAAATGAAATGCTAGTGGCTTAAAGAGTATTTATCACATGGCAACATAGTTTTCATCTGCCGAATATTTGCATTCTGAATGAATCAGTGGTACAACCCTCGTGTGGAGGAGGTCAAAATGTAATATTTAAGATCCAGGAACAAACTTAGTTGCATAAACCCATGCATTATTAGCAACAGGATTGTCAAGGTGATCCAAAAGGTTCTCAAGAGGGCCTTTGCCAGTGACAATAGCTTGAACGAAGAATCCGAACATGGAGAACATAGCCAATCTTCCATTCTTGATCTCCTTAACCTTGAGCTCGGCAAAAGTAGTTGGGTCATCAGCTAGACCAAGTGGGTCAAAGTACTGGCCACCTGGGTAGAGATTGTTGCCATCACCAACTCCTGGAAGCCCATTAATTCTGAAACCTTCTACAAGGCCCATTAGCACTACTTGGAAGCCCAACACTGCTAGAATGCTTTGAGCATGGACAAGGTTTGGGTTGCCCAAATAGTCCAGTCCTCCTTCACTGAAGATTTGGGCTCCAGCTTTGAACCATACTGGTTCCTTGAAGTCCACTTTCACCCATTTCTCGAGAACTTCTGGAGTAATGCAACCTAGTGCCCCAAGCATGGCCCATCTCCCATGGATGACCTGGAATTGTTACAATTTTAATCGGCATCAATCTATCAACTACGTCTCAATCCTAAATTAGTACTAGTAAAAGAAAAAGAAAGTACCTCAAGAGCTCTGTTCTTGGCAAAGGCTTCAGGATCAGCAGATAAACCGGCTGTGTCCCATCCGTAATCACCGGGGAATTCTCCAGTCAAGTAGGAAGGAGTTTGAGCAGAAAAGGGTCCCAAGTACTTGACACGGTCAGGTCCATACCACAATTCATTACTCTAACAACATTGAAGAAAATGACAAGATAACGCATCTTAGCATGCAATATAGTTCCAATGGGTTCAACTTAATTAAGTATTTTTTCTTACGCGGATAAAAAATTTACCATGGTGAATTTTGCAGAGCCCATTGGAACTACATCTCTAAGAGGGTTGACATATTTGGTCTGGCCCAAGAATGGAGTTGCTCTAACACCTGTGGCGGAGCCGGTTGCTGCCATTGATGCCATTCTCTCTTTATTTCTTAATTTCTCTCTTGGACTTCACATTTGACTAAGTTTCTTGCACAATGTATATATACAACTGCTGGAAAAATATGGAGGGTCCCATCCCAAAGGATACTAGTAGTTCTTGTGTTTAGAAAGTGACAATATTAATTACGTGGGTGGCTATGATTGCACGGACAGGAAATTGTGGTGTGAGATTATTTTGAAGTTATGCATCAACCAATGAGAAGTGTTTAGAAGATTTTAGTATCTCCAACTCATATCCTCCTATCCAGATTATTATCTCTCTATAGCAAATTGTTAATAACAGAGTAATTACTATACGACAGTTAGACTACGTACTCATATGTACTGTTGCACAATCCATCATTACTCGCGTATAAGCAGAGATAATCTTACAAAATTTAAAACGTTTTAGTTTAAAATCTATTGGAAACCTTAAACTCGAACCTCTCCAATTCAAATGTATACTCCAAAATTACTGGCATAATGGAGGTTTCTTTTAGCAGACAGAACAACGTTTGATAAAGTTCTCCAAAATACTTATTTGAAACTTATGGACAAAAGTTACTGGCTGAGTTCAGCCAGCTCCGCACCCCTATTACTAACGGATATATGGAGTAGATAACTGAGACAACTGGAAATGTTCATGTTACCATTAAGGCAGATAACTAGAAATTTTTAAATGGTGAAAAAAGCTTATGACAAATAGTAAGCGAGCCTTAATTTGTTCTAAAGAGTTAAGGGTTTGTAATTGAGTTTGGCATAATTATTACGAACGACGATACTTGACTGCTTACAAATAATGAAAACTTTTGCAGACAAAAATACTAGATTTCAAAATTTTGGACAGTTTGGCATATTCCACTTTAATTAGTTTCTGTCAGAGCTTAGTTTATTTCAAAGCCGATGCACGGCTAGCACTAATCATCACATTATATGGCATACTTTAGTTTAATCATGGTGGACTTTTTATTAGACAATTAAGTTTATCTGTTTTCTCTAAGCATCCTTATTTGATGAGCTGAACTAAAGAGGAAGAAATAAGCATTATGATTCTATAAAAAGAAATTTAGCTGGCTTATAAATTTTCATTCGTGCTTCATTAATATTGTTGAATGTAGAGATCTGGATCTCTTTTTATTAAGCAAGATCTGTAAATGGGTAAATATAGTAGTTGTATATTGTGTATCTATAATGTTAGAGATGTAGTATTCTAGAAGAAATTATAGGAATATGATATTCTAAGAATATTCTTAGGAGAGATTTTAAGGAGTATGAGCTTAAACTCGTGTATATATACTCTTCTTCCCGGAAATGAGAAAGCAGGTCACATTCATCTAAAAAAAGTTATGCAAACTCTCCTGTACTACGTTTCCCATTGAAGCAGTGGTGTTGTGTATTCTTTTTTCTTTCTTATTTATGATACTTTGAAAAAAATTTGTAACCTTTACATGTTATTATTCTGAATGTTCATTCATTTTTTTCTTTGTTTGTACTTAGAAATTTATTGATATTCTTTTTGTTTTCAAATATTTTGCTATTTAAATGTAGCTATATATCTTTGACTAAGAAAGCTAAGGAAGGAGGTGCTAATCTCCGAGTCATTTTTCAATAGTATATGCGTCAAAAGAACATGACTTGAAATGATATGATACCTAGAAAGGATGCCGAAAGAGTTGTATTTCGTCTTTACTATGGATTAATTCTCATTGCTTATCTTAAAAAACTCTTATCCACTTTTCTGCTTTTACAAATAACAAAAGTTGTTATTTATTTGGTATGCTTGGAGTATAATTGTAAGAAAAACATATATTCATGATATATAAAATATAGTACTGGACAACGATATTAAGACACATGGCCCTTTTAGGATAAAATCTAATAAGATTTAGGGTAAAGTCCAATAATATTTAGAATAATATATATATATATATATATAGATATATATAGAAAGCCACTTGGTAATTTTAAAATAATATATGTTAGACTATTTATCGAAAACAGCCTCTCTGCCCCATCAGGGTAGGGGTAAAGTATGCGTATACACTATCCTCCCCAGATCCCACATTGTAGGATTTTACCGGATCGTTGTTTGTTGTTGTATCCGCTAGACTATGTAATAAAATTAAATTTGAATTAACAGATAAACATTTGAATATATATATAAGGATTTGAATTGAATTGAAATATAAAAATAATTATTTTGAATTAAAAGATAAAACAACTTTTTAAAAAATAATGACAATAATGGTGAAAGATATTATTTAAACAAAAGTTTTCGAATTTGGACTGGAATGTAAAAAAAATTATTTAGAATTGAAATATAAACAGTTTTATGAAAAGCATGAATAATAATGGTAAAGGACATTATTTTAAACAAAAAAATTCAATCAATAAACGAAATGTTCTTCTAAAATCATGAATGTAGTATTGCACCTATAAGTAAAAATGTTTAAGAATATCTCATAAAGCAATTAACTAATATTTATTTGATTTCTCCAACAATAACATAATATCATTTTTTGACAAAAAAAATACAGGAGTATCATTTTCTTTGATGCACGGATAGCTTAACTATACAAATCATTGTTGCAATGGATATAACTCTCTACCAATTTGAAACATGGAATGAAAATTTTATGATTTTTACCTACTAAATATAAAATATAAAATTTAATTATATTGATTTGAGTTATATATGTACAAAAGTAATATATGTAGATATATACAAAAGTAAGAATATAATATCGATATTTATAATCCACATCTCTAATTGAAAGCTATAAGATTTCATAAAATAAGTAAGACTTATAAATCGAGTTACTGAATTAAGAGTTTATCAAAAAACATGTTGAACAGAAAGTGATCATCCCAATAATAATTGTGACTCTATACCTAACAGACAAAAATACCTTCTAATCTAATCGAAGATAATTTTACATTATTCTTTTTTAAATTATTAAAAGCTATGGCGAATTATTTTTCTCATATGGGACTGTCTCTAAATAAATATATATTTATAAAAGAACCACTTTATGGTCTTATTACGAGTTACAAGTAGGAAGAAATAAATTTTTTTAATGATGAATAAATAACAAATGAAGTTAGAAAAATAGTAAATAAAGCATTTTTAGATTCGTTTAATTATAATGTATTCTTATTCCTTTTGAATCATGTTATATTTTTAGATTCTTTGTAGCACAAACTATATAATTGTAACGATCCGGCCGGTCGTTTCATGAGTTACCGCTCCGTTTTTCCCATTTCTGATTCTTATTGTCTTGTTCAGCTGTATTATGTGTTATCGGGTTGGTTGGCTCGGGTTCGGAGAGGTTTTGGTAAGGTTTGAGACACTAAGTCTCATTTGAGAAAGCTTAAGTTGGAAAAGTCAATCGGAAGTTGACTTATGTGAAATAGGGCTCGGATGTAAATTCCGATGATTCAGATAGCTTCGGGAGGTGATTTGGGACTTAGGAGTGTGATCGGAACGTGTTTTGGAGGTCCGTAGTAGATTTAGGCTTGAATTGGCGA